AGTGGGCAGAGCGGGTCCAACGAGGACCACCACCGTAGCCCTGAGCAGCAGTGCGGTCACCAGCTCGAGCCCCCGTGCATCCTCTCTCAATCAACAGGTAAGATTCTACTGCTAGTCATTGCCACTCCCTTATGAAAAAGTAAGACCCGAACGAACCTTCCATCGAAGCACACCTACCAACTGGCAAGCCTCCGATCCCGCTGCTCCTATTGGTGGAACGGACAGTAAACTCGCAAGCGGTGAGTCTCCAACCTCCGCGGCTAGCCCCCCCCTCTCGCTCTTTGCCATAGGTCGCGTTCACACAGGTACGTACTCTCCCACCATTACCCAACGTTCCTAGCCAACTTCTCGACCAGGTTCACTTGTTCGTAGCCTCTTCCCCGTAAGAAGGCCGAATCTGAATGTGTCGAGTGTCACAGCTTGGATAACTTCACTCCCACAGCTCGTCTCGAGCTACTTCGATCAGTCGGGGGGGGGCAATGACCGAATGAACCTCCCCTCACAGCGCACGTAGGTTCATTATGGTGGGGGGGGGGGCGGTAGGTAAGTGTCCCCTCTCCCCTTCTCTCCTCCCTAGACCTTCTTTCCCACTGTCGCCTCTTGCCCCGCAAACACAATGTCGCCCAGTACTGACTGAACGTACAAATACTGAATGAATCTGTCGCTGGGACAAGGGAAGATACACTCCCATGCCTATGCTTCCCACCTCCCGACGCATCTCCTAACTCACACCGCCCAAAAGCTACCCACTAATTTCCCTTCCTGCCTTCGCCAGCGCGAGCGCAAACCCAAGGAATCCCCTTACTCACGTTTTTCCGCGCCCGCCCCTTTTCCACCGCTCCACACTCATCCTCCCGCCATAGCCCGTGCCCCGCCCGTCCTCTACCTCCAGTCCTACTAACCTACTACCTAAGCTAGCACGATCAACGCACTCGCCTGGTTCTAAAACCCCACTCCCAACTCTCCAATAGCCCAGCTCCGCAAGACATAGGGCGAGCCATTCATATCTCGCTACGCCATGCCCGCTCCCACCACCGTCTTGCTGCTACGGCTGCACCCGGTCGTGACTCTACACTAGGTTCGTCCGTTCTCCCTCCGCCTTCGTCCTCGTCGTCCTCGCTGACCCACCTACTATCGTCAGCGTCAGTTCGATTAGCGCACCCCCTGTGCAGAGCTCGGTCCCACGACAAAATGGGGAGGCAACGGAAACCGACATTATTCCAACAGCAAAAGCCCTGGCGCCCGGGCCTTCTCCCAATTTATGCACCTCGACCACATACGGGTGCCCGACTGGTCTTCTCTGCATCGCTCTAAGTCTAGCGGATGCCCCGAAGTGCTTTTCCTAGCGGTTGGCGCCTCGTGGCGCTGCCAAAGGCCGTTCGGGCCCTTCCCCTCTGTTACCTCATCGCGTCTGCATCCTCCTACTTTCTAACGGGTGTCCCGAAGGACACATCCTTCGCAGTACCCTGCGGCCCTGCGAAATGGCCCGGGGTAATTCAAAATAGAGGTTTTACTCCCCCAGGCTCCATCACCTGGGGTTGGACACAGGTCGGTATTTCGACAGTTCACAAGTGTACTTGTCGAACTAAGCCCATGGGGCCTGCCATACCCCCACTGCACCGCGCCCCAAGGCAAAACGGGGCGCGGCTCCGGCGTAATCGTGAAAACCGTTTGTACTTGCACTTCAGGCAAACACCACGCATACAACATGCCCCATGTGATCCCACCGCCGTCTCGTGTCCCCGAACGGAAAAAAAAAAAAAAAAAAAAAAAATATTGGGGAACAGTGGGGCTGCTGGCGCCTCGTCAGTCCCGCGGATCTGGCCCGCCGCCGCGCCCGTAAGCAAAACCGAGGGGGATAGCCCTGACGGCCCTTAACCCCATCGGTCCCTTTTGCGATGCTCTGCTGCAATTGCTGCGCCAACGCCTGCTGGCCTCGATCCCCGAACCTTCGTAGTGCCAACCCAATGCCATAACCTATAAGGCTAAGCCCAAGCTTGGTACCAGTGGGCGCGGATCTCTTAGTAAAGAGGTGGCCCACGGCCTTTAGGGCCAAGGAACCGCCCCACGCCACTTCTCGCCCCACACTTGCACGCCTACCTACCTGTCGTGCCCCGACTACCCTTCCCTAACCGAATCCATCAGGTCTCATCATCTGGATTCCGCGTACGTCCACACCGGCTCGTTGAACCGTCCCCCATACCCCACGGAACCAGAAAACAACGCACCCATGGTTAGTCAGTTTAATCAAAACAAACAACTGATATAATGCGGCACGTCGACCAGAATCCACGCTGCGTCTTCCATCGTAATAAAAAAAGAACAAAATCACGCGCGTCTCAAACATGCGTGCCCACACACTCTCGAATTTGGCCAAGTGCTTAGTCAACGTGGCCCTCAGACATTGTCGTGTCTCGCGCACCGTACTCAAACTCTTAAGCTTAGCTTTATTTTTTCGTCAATTTCAAAAACCAGGGCGGATACCCTTGTAAGGGTATTCGCGCCGACAACGGGTATCCTCCTTCTGAATGGGTAGTGGTGCCGTACGGAAGAATCAATCAGCACCCAGACGAGGAAAGGTTCGACACGAAGCAGAAGGTCGCAAGAGGGGCTGTGGAGAGGGCGATTCTCCCATGAACTTGTGCACGGATTTGAACTGCTGGTACAGGTTGTCCCATTTCTTTTCGCAGTCGACGACCTTCCTACTTGTCACCCCCATCTGCACAAGCCTCTTCTCCACGTCCTCCCACTTCCATCTCTTCGTCTTTATCCGTCCGTAGTTGTGCCCCAGACCGTTCAAATGCAAATCCTTGTCTCTTTTGGCTCTGATAAGAGCGATCATATGCTCCACTGTCCAAAAATCCCTGCTTTTTGTTTCGTCGCCTGCCGACGATTCTTCGACGCACTTCTTGCCTTTCCGCCCCGTGCACGATTCTCTAACCTTGGTTGTCGCCCCTTTCCGCCCCGTGCACGATTCTTCGACGAATCTTTATCTCGCCGCCGTCGTCGTCGTCCTTGTCATCACCGCCGTCGTCTGCAGCGATCTCCTCGCCCCCTCCACCATCGCAGTCCACAAATACGTCTTCGGCCCCCACACTGATCTCGCACCCCTCTCGTTATACTGGACGTGTTTGCGGAACGCAATCGTTGCCGTTCATCATCCCAAACCTGACGACCGACGACCTCTGTAGCGGCGTGCTCGTCGTCGTCCCCTTCTCCGTCGATTGTACCGCCTGGCGTCGTCGTTTGGCAGCCTGCCAATCCAGCTGTCTTCGTCGTCGACGCGACCACACTTGCTGTACTCAAAGCCACCCTCCTCGGCGAAACGAATCCACGACTATCCGCAGGGCCAACCGCCCTCACGGAAGGCGATGTGTGTTTGGTGGCAGAAGCCGGGTTCACGACAACAGTGTGCGTCAGGTCCTCGCCACTCCCAGACCGAAGCTCAGATCCACGAGTCCAGCGTCGTAACCAGCGGGGGTCCGACCCTCCCGCAAATCAGTGTACATCAGCGTCGATGCGTGTCTGTATAACTGGTTCCCCATCCAATCCTGCGTCGAACCGCTGCCCAGAGGAACCGTTGAGGATCTGGGGTCGTCGACGTCGTCGTCACTCAGAGGCAATGGAATCCCGTGGGACGGCAGGTGGTTGTATAGCGTCGGGTCGTACGGCTGCCTACCGCCTTCTGCACTGTTGCAACGCTGACGCGAGGACCCCCCACCCTCCACCGACATCGTCGTCTTCGTCTAAAGCTTATCCATCTTCCTCGACTTCTTCGGCGTTCGACACGTCTGTTTCCTTCCAGGAACGCGACCGAGGAAACAAATGTGGAAGACGACAACGATGAGCAGTAGCAGAGCGACGAGCAGCAACAAAGGCAGCCTGCGGTACAGGTATGCCATCAACGATAGGTCAGCCGACACATAAGCGTTGTCGCATTCGCGACGAGCAGGGGCACACTGTGCGAGAGGGAAGACGCCAACGAACCAAATTCATGCAAGCATCAACAGGGGGAGGACGCTTACAAAATCCGTATTTTCGACCGTTGGGAAGCCCGCGGGAACGCCACGAAGCCTCCGGGCGCCGGCCGAAGACGTCCGATGATCGCCATGGCCCCTCCGTGGGGCCGCCCGAAGGACCTACAGGGCCGTCCCGCGATTCAGCGCCAACGGTAAAACGAGGAGGCCGTTGCTGGAGGTTTTCGATGACGACGACCGGGGATGTCCGTCTTCTGGCCGCTGGACCACCACTGGACCAGCTTCGGCCTCCAATTTCCGCCGACACCCCGTTAATCGGGGCTCCGAAGGACCTCGCGAGGTCCTTCGAGTTCGAGGACGATTTGGCTGGGAAATCCTCGGAGCCCGAGTTTTCACATTTTCATTTCCGATTTCATCTCCGAGGACAGGTGGAACGACGACGAATTCTTGGAATCGCGTCCCGGAGGAGTGTATAACGATGCCCTAAGTGTCTGAATCTGGACGTGTTTGTGGAGAGGTGCAAAAAACTGTAATTGCTCTTCTTTTCTGCATCTCTTTCTAGAACACGTCCAGTGTCAGACACTTATTCCAATCCACTTCGCCAGTGGGATCCGCCCCAAAAAGGCGGGCAATTGCCGTGACTGGTGGCGGCTATTGAAAAGAGGGCGCAGTCTGGTGGAGGCATTTTGAACTACCCAACTTCCGCCAACACAACGTTTTAAGCCTGATTCCGAATGTATCTGGACGATTTTTCCGGTCCGATAGGGTCCGGATGACGGTGGGTTATGTTCGGTGGAAGCAGGTACCTGGCGCCGCTGGCGGGGAGTGGCTCGGCGCGCATACCAGAAGCGTTTCACCGGCGGGCGGCCGGGGGGGTTGGGGGCATTGCGAAAGCGCGCGCAGCCCAGGTTCGTTTGCAGTAGCGGCGATCGAGCCCCCGCTCTTGCCCAACAAAGAGCGCCCTCCGGCTGCGCATGTGCAATAGGAAGTGCGGGGTGTTGATTTTGGTCGGCCACAGCGACGCGTGTACGTTGGGAAGGCGCTCGCCGAGAGGGGGGAGGTCAGGGGAGGTAAGGGGAGGTATCCGTGCGAGTGCGAAGCGCCAGACGAGGGGGGGAGGAAGACAGTGATGGCGGCCAACGCGCTTCGTGTTTCTGCGATGGCGGCGGCGACGGGATCCGCCTCACTTAGTCTTGTGGGCTCGTCTACTGCTGCGCGTCGAGTCGGTACGGCAACGCCTAAGGTCCGGGCGATGGCAATGCCCACGTCCGCTCATCTGTGCGGATTGATCAATCGGCAGTCGTCGTGCGTGGGGGGTTCGCAGATCGTGAGGGGAAGCCCTTGCGCGCCGCGACGACTGGTCGCGATCCCGTCCCTCTTCCCCTCAACTTCCTCCTCCTCTGTCTCCTCTGTCTCTGACGCCTCTCTTTCGTCAGGCATCCGCTGCCAGTCGTCCTCCTCCGCGCCGAGCGCCACCAAGGCGAAGACCATCGCTGTGGGCGATTCCATCCCCAATGTCGGCCTTCAGTACTTCGACGAGGAGGGCGTTATGCAGACGGTAATGACGGGAGATCTGGCCAAGGGCAAGAAGATAGTCTTATTCGCCGTGCCGGGGGCGTTCACACCTACGTGTTCTCAGAAACATCTTCCTGCTTTTGTCGAGAAGGCGGATGAGCTTAATGCCAAGGGCGTGAGCGTCATCGCTTGCGTGTCAGTGAACGATCCTTTCGTGATGCAGGCTTGGGGAAAAAACGTTGGGGTGTCCGACAAGGTGATGCTGCTAGCTGACGGGAGTGGCCAGTTCACCCAGGCCATGGGAGTGGAGCTGGATCTAATCGATCGAGGTCTCGGTGTCAGGTCGCGACGCTACGCCATGCTTGTAGACGACGGGGTTGTCAAGATTTGCAATCTGGAGGAAGGAGGCGCTTTCACCAATAGCGGCCCAGAGAGCATTCTCGAAGCCCTCTAGTGTACTTGACACTCACACACAAGGAAGAGAGAGAGAGAGAGAGAGAGAGAGAGAGAGAGAGAGAGAGAGAGAGAGAGAGAGAGAGTGGAGGCGCGTTCACCAATAGCGGCACGGACAGCATTCTCGAAGCCCTCGAGGGTACTTGACCCTCACACACACACACACAGAGAGAGAGAGAGAGAGAGAGAGAGAGAGANATGGGGCTGGTTTTTTTTTTTTTTTTTTTTTTTTTTTTTTGTTTTTGTTTGTTTTTTTTTTTTTGTGTTGTTGTTTGTGTGTGAGAGAGAGAGAGAGAGAGAGAGAGAGAGAGAGAGAGAGAGAGAGAGAGAGAGAGAGAGAGAGAGAGAGAGAGAGAGAGAGTCTTGTATGACCGAGAAGATGGGAACTATAAACAGCATGTTTAGGAGGATGGCGGAGGTCAGGTCTCCTGGAGCCAGTCTGCTGACAGGGAGAGACAAAAAGCTTCTTGACTGTGACGAGGAGGGACCACAACAGGGCAGTGATGATTCGGTGCATCTGCCTTCGGACATTCGATAGCCTATTTTCCCTATACAACTTGAACTCTGCTCCCTGTACAATTGTATAGAGACAAACGGCTACCGAATGTCCGAAGGCGCATCTGCCTATACCATTTGAACTGTGCCGCTCCAGTAAATCTTTTTGTCTTGTAAATCGCTCTGGAAGCTGGACCCGGTTTCCATCAGGTGCTGCTCCCCACCAGTAGACAGAGGCCACCGGCACGCAGATGCTACGGGAGGGTGCTCATATCTGCCCCTGTAGCATAGCCTGGCGGTGTTTAATAAAAGTAGCGAGTTCAGTTGTGGCACAAACGACTTCGAAAAGGGCAACAAAAACATCACACGCGGGCAACAAACTCGCGCGCCGAGTTCAAAAGCGCAAGAAAGTTAACGCATTTTTGCCCGTGCACCGAGTTTGAAAAGGGCAACAAACTCGCGTGCACCGAGTTTGAAAAGGGCAACAAACTCGCGTGCACCGAGTTTGAAAAGGGCAACAAAATCACACGCGGGCAAGGGCAACAAAATCACACGCGGGCAAGGGCAACAAAATCACACGCGGGCCACAGCCATTTTTACCGCATGACTGGTTCTGGTTAGCCCGATATCTGCCACTCAAAATTCTCGCTGCAAATTCCTAACAAGGCAAAAGTAGAAAGCAGCTGAAAACAAATCCTTGAGGGGCATCCATTTTTTACGCGCTCCATGGGCTAAGTCCCACTGGCGGGGGCTTAAATCCTTGAGGGACATCCATTACCCGTTCCATGGGCAGGGGTTTCAATCGTTGAGGGACATCCATTAGTACGCGTTCCGTGGGCGAAGTCCCACTAGCGGGGGATTAAAACTCTGTTTCTAACTTTCTAGTGCTCACAGGTTCTTGCGATCCTACATGAACACCTCGCGGCCGCACTGTGGCCATGGTTAAAAAAAAACACTCGAAAGGAACACTAACCCCCCTCTAGTGCGACTTGCCCCGCCCAGATGATGGCAGCGGAACTTTGCCCCCCTAGTGTGACTTGGGGCCCTTCTTTGTTGAAAAACTTTCCGTAACTGAAAGTTCTTTGCTGCAGACGCGAGAATAGTAGAATACACTATTGTTCTTCTTCTCTCAAATTCTTTTTGCCTTTCACTACCTTCCTTCCCAGCTCTTAATTGATTTGACATCACCCAAAAAAAAAAAAAAAAAAACTTAAAAAAAGGGAATTGGAGAGTTCCAGAGAAGATTAGCCCTGCCCCTTCAGACGTGTGGCAAGCACACCCTTCTGAGGAAAGATCCAGCACTTGCTACGGTGTGTGTGTGGTGGTTGTGGTGCCATTCACTCAGATGTTTGGCGGTTTGAAAGCTGTTGTTTAGGTTTTCGTTGTCGCATTCCGAGTTCTTTTCAAAGCACCTGCTCAAACTCTAGCCAGGGTTTAGCGCGGGGGAAGCATGCAGGGTTGAGGCCGCCAGTGGGGATCTGGCTTTTTTTTTTTTTTTTTTTAATCATAACAAAGCCTGTCTCTTATACACATCTAGATGTGTATAAGAGACAGGAGAGAGAGAGACGGTTGCCGGCGACCTCGTTGTGCGTTGCGTCTGTGGCGAATTGGGAGAGTGGAGCTGATTCTTTAGGCTATTGAGTGGCCGTGCGAGTTTGCTTCTTAAAGTCCTTGTTCAGCTTTGTGACGTGGATGGCGCCACTGCAACGTGGATGGAGGCATCTGCATGGACTCGTTTGCCACGTGGATGGAACTGCCTGTGCGGCAATGAAGCACTCTTGCGATTAATTGCTGCTTGTGCAGCCATCAGGCACTTCAGCTGCTCATTGATGCATGGCGGCTTGATAGATGACCTCTGTCTTGCGCGCTTTCTGCTCTCACTACCTCCTCTCTTGCTCGATGTCTCTCTTCCTTCCCGCACCTCTTTTGACATTTGCTCTCCTTCTCTGTTCTATTTGCTCTTTCCCACGTGCGACGCACTCATGGTGTCTGCTTCTCTCCTTCCTTCTGCATGCCAGTTGTCTTCCGTCTTTGCTTCCTCTGCACAAGTCCCCTAACTGTTGTTCTCGTGCTCCTCTCTACAGGTGTAGCCTCTTAGGTTTCTTAATCTCTGTACATATGTGTCCTTTCACTCGACGTTCCACGTGTCTGGACTTATCAGGGGGTGGACACACTTTTGGCTGGACTCATCAGGCGGTGGGCACACTTTTGTCGTTTGCTGCTTCCTGTATGCCTGCCTGCCCGCTCGCCTGGTCGGCCAGGAGTTCCTCAGCGCTTTCGCTGTTCTCGTGGATGGTCTTAAGTACCTGTACGCTAATGCGGCCAGGTGCGTGATCTGTACCAGATCATCATTGACGGACACGGGGAACTGCCTCCGTGGTAAAGGCGGGAGAATAGTTGTGTAACGTTTTATTTTAGTAGGTTTTGGTTTTTGCCCTTGTTCCGGTTTTCTGTCAGCTACTTCACACGTGGAATCCGTTCAGACACGTGGCAATCAACCGGTGTTTGATTGGACGTGCATGCCATGTCTTTTGTATGGTTTGGAGCTTATTATGAAATCTTATAGTCTGTTTCTGCGCTTTCTCGCTACATGTTCCTTCCCCTCATCCCCATTGGTAAATTAGATTCTCCCCCTTCCTTTCCCCCCCTTCCCCCCCTTCCCCCCCTCCCCCACTCGCCCCCCGCCAACAATCTAAAATATCAGGTCAGTACTGTTCGTGGGGGAATGCGTCAGTTTTCTGTTTTTTTTTTGGGACCTTAGTTTCCGAGCTTTTGTACACGCTGAAATTTCTTTGAAGTGTACTGCTTTGCGTGTCAAGGGCAATTGGCCATTGGTTGTCATCTATCTTTGTGTTTTGTGTAGGAGGGTTGATGAAGAAGTGAAAAGATTTGTCGTTTCAGGTACTGAAGTGAATTTCTTCTGTCCTTGTGTTTGGTGTAGGAGGGTTGATGAAGAAATGATGATGAAGAAATGAAAAGATTTGTCTTTGCAAGGTTTTTAAGTGAATGGGCTTTGTCTTTGTCAGGTATGTAAGTGAATGGGCCCATGGTTAAGTTGTGTTCCACAATTTACCAAGTGTGGTAATTTACCAAATGGTTTATGTAAGTGAACGGTGTTCCACAATTTACCGAATGTGGTAATTTACCAAATGTGGTAATTTACCAAATGTGGTATGTAAGTGAACGGGCCCAAGGTAAGTTGTGTTCCACAATGTACCAAATGTGGTAATTTACCAATGTGGTATGTAAGTGAATGGGCCCATGGTTAAGTTGTGTTCCACAATGTACCAAATGTGCAACATGGGAATGAACTCTTGTGCATCTGGTGAGTAGTGGAGCGAGGCGTTGTGTGGAGGTGATTTGCGTTCTCTCACGCACTTTGCGGTCCTTGTGCGCTTATCTCCGGTCCGTAATCGATTTGAGCAAGCGGCCTAGCTCAGTTGGTTAGGCACGGAAGTGGCAATTAGGAGGTCCTGGGTTGAATCCCCACACACGGATGGACGTCCCGCGGCACTGTGCCAACCAACTGAGATCGTGGGCTTGCTTCCCCCCGCTCGGTTTTGGTTTAGGGTCGTTGCTCATCATGGGTTGAGTGTTTTGAGTATGGTTTTTCTGATGTGTGTGGGAGACTGGTGGCCATTGAGACACTGCTGTTAGTCGACGTCGGCGGAAGTAAATGGGAGGCGGAGCTACTGGCTGAATGCGCGCGCGGTCATTGCGGTAGCCATCCCCGCCGCCCCACCCGCTACTTCCTGACCACCGTCGATTAGGGCGGGGGGCAACTTGCATCCCCCTAATTGTGAGAGGTAGCTGTGCCTGTGAAGGTTTTTTTTTTTTTTTTTTTTTAACCTGTGTAGGTTTAGAGATAGTGGTAGGTAGGTAGTGAAAGTTGAATTTGAGAAAAAAAAAAAAAGAATTTGAGAGAAAAACAGAGGTAAGTTTTTCTTTTAAGAAGAAAAAGAGGGAAATAAAAAGGGATACGTCGATTTCGGACTTGGATGTCGTATTGCAGAGGATGATTGTGAGCGTCATCAAAAAATAAAAACGAAAAGTAAATCATTTGAACGTTTATGGAGAATAAATTGAAATCTGCGCTCGTGCCTCAGCGAATTCGTATTTCTGAAATTTTTTATTTTATTATATTTTTGTTAGAAGGGCCGGGGTGCGGGGCGAGGGGACGTGGTGGTGGTGGTGGTGGTGGGTGTATGTCGACTGACGAGAACGTGGTTCGATAGACAAGCAGCACTCTTGCTGCCTCTCTGCCAGCCATTGGAGACAGGTACGAAGATGCTAGAGGGGTAAGAGGTCAGCGGTTGACCCCATGTAATCCCTTCGTTGTGAGGTATAGCTAATGCTTGCAGGGGTCCTCACTAGATAGCCTTAGGAGGAGTGGTAGGTAGGTAGTGAAAGGCAAAAGAAAATGGAGAGAAGAAGATATATAGTTTTATCAAATGGAAAAAAAAAAAATTAAAGTAGTGTGGGTATGTGCTTCGGGTAGGTAGGTAGTGAAAGGCAAGAAGAAAATGGAGGGAAGAATATATATAGTTTTATCAAATGGAATATTAAATGGAAAAAAAGAAGTTTAAAGTAGTGTGGGTATGTTCTTCGGGACGTCCGTGGATATGGAGAAGCTAGAAGCTTAAGGTATTCCTGCTGTTGATCTTCAGAATCTGCGGCCGGAATCTCATTTCCTGCCGTTGATCTTGAGAATCTGCGGTCGGAAATCGAGAATTAGGGTAAGTGGGCCCTGGGCCCTGCTGATGGACGTGGAACCACGGCCACCATGGGACCACAGACGCAAAAATGAGATATAACCTTTTATGCCCTGGGGTTATAAGGCCCCCTCGGCCGGATTCTCATTTCCTGCCGTTGATCACAATCTGCGGTCGGAAATCGAGAATTAGGGTAAGTGGGCCCTGGTCCCCGCTGACGGACGTGGAACTGTGGCCGTCCATGAGTTCACAGAAACAATGAGGGTTTGCAACATTTTTAGGGCGAGATCCCACTGGCAAAGAGGATTGTAGTGTCTGAATGTGGACGTGTTTGTGGACGGGTGCGAAGAATTGTGATTGATCTACCTTTTTGCACTTTTGCGTGGAACACGTCCAGATTCAGACAGTTCTTCCAATCCAATTTGCCAGGCCCTGCTGACGGACGTGGAACAGTGGCCCACCACGAGTTCATAGAGACAATATGAGGGTTTGCAACATTTCTAGGGCGAGATCCCAGTGGCAAAGAGGATTGTAGCAAGTGTTTGTGGACAGGTGCATTTTTTTTTTGCGAGAAAACAACAATTTATATTATCAGAGAAACCCAGAGACGGCGGGGAATCCCTCACAAAACAACCCGGTGAAAAGGTCCTGGGACCATTACCCGGATTTGACTTAAGGACCGGGTCCAGGTTCCCCTGACAGGTGCAGAATAAAATCTACTTTTTTGCACCTTTTTTGAGTGGAACACGTCCAGATTCAGACACTTCTTCAAATCCTCTTTGCCAGTGGGATCTGGCCCATTTTAAGTGGGCTCATTGTTTTTCGTTCCTTGGTGGAGAACTCGGGCTGTTTTCTTTTTCAGCAGCCTACGCTGTCACTGGCAAAGAGGATTGTAGTAAATGTGTCTGAATGTGGACGTGGTTGTGGACAGGTGCGAAAATTTGTGATTGATCTACTTTTTCACAAATTAGAATGGTCACTTCATCCTCTCTCTCTCTCTCTCTCTCTCTCTCTCTCTCTCTCTCTCTCTCTCTCTCTCTCTCTCTTATGGCCTGAACAGTCTTAGAGTAGTTTCAGGCTCTCTCCCTCTCTCTCTATCATGGGCTGAACAGTGCTGGAATACTTCTAGGCGGTCTCCCTCTCCATCCTTCTCATGGGCTGAAAAGTGCTGGAGTAGTTCTCGACTCTCTCCCTCTCTCTTTCTCTCATGGCGTGAACGTTTCTGGAGTAGCTCTAGGCAACCGTTCTGGTCTGATTGGGTCAATGGTGGCTAATGTCAGGGTGGGCGAGACTTTTTAGTGTGTTGTTTAAGTAAAACAAGTGAAGCCGCCGCGGCGAAGCCCGCGGTCCAGGACGCAGGCCCATCCCAGGCACGGCCGTTATCTGGCCCGGGTGACATTGAGTGTGTTTGTTTTAGAACACGAGGGACGCGCAGCATTGGGGGGGCCATCGGCCAAGGCATCAGCACGCCGTCGGATCCTTTGCAAATCAGAACTATTTTATTGCGGTAGCCGCTGGATACGAACTTCAATCTGCAATTCAATAGTTTCATGTGTGCATGAACTGAGCAGCCTGCCAATGTGCAAAATGAGAAGGAATCTTCTGCAAGAACATAGGAAGATATGCCAATGTGCAAAATGGGAAGGAATCTTCTGCAAGAACATAGGAAGATACGCCGCGACGGACAGATACATCAAAAAGAAATCCTGGTGTGAGTATGGACCAAGGAGCTGTCAGCTGCAAATGTTGCTGCCACACACACACACACACACACACACACACACACACACACACAGAGAGAGAGAGAGAGAGAGAGAGAGAGAGAGAGAGAGAGAGAGAGAGAGNGAGAGAGAGAGAGAGAGAGAGAGAGAGAGAGAGAGAGAGAGAGAGAGAGAAGGTGGGGGGAGAGCGCTCTCTAGAAGGATGTTGGAGGCTGCTGTTGTGTGCATAATGTTGAGTGCTGCTAGAACATGGGAATATACACTGCCGCATTTTCTGTCTCTGGCAGTGTATATTTCCATGTTGTGGCAGTGGATACTTCCATGTTCTAGGGGAAGATTCAATCCCATTTTGCTCATTTGGTGAATCGTGGCAATATCAGTCTGTGTGTGTGTGTGTGTGTGTGTGTGTGTGTGTGTGTGCGCGTAAGATGATCGAAATCGGAATGAATCTTCACCTAGAACATGGAAATATACACTCCCACACTTTTTTTTTCTTCTTTTATTTTTATTTTTGTCATGTGTGCATAGACTGAGCAGCCTGCCAATGTGCGTAATGAGAACGAATCTTCTGCAAAAACATAGGAAGATACACCGCGGCGAACAGAAACATTCAAAAGAAATCCTGGTGCGAGTATCAACTAAGGGTTGGACCCCACTGCGGTATTTTTTCCTTATGTAAAAGGAAAGTTTGGTAGGTGAAGTCCGAAAAAGGAAAGTGGTTGTTGTCCGGGAGGCGATGGGTCGACCTCAGGAAATGGCCATAGGACAATTCGCTCCAGGGTCACGTGTTCCACCGACGTCGGGCAGTGCGTGGACGAACAATCTGTGGTCCGTCCACGGGGCCTGGTATTGGAAAAGTTCAAGACGGCTGAGGGGGCCAACCTCGGCTTTCGGCACAAATTTGCGGCGTGATCTCCTCCGTTTTCGCCGTTTTCCAGACCATGGACGATGTGAAAACGTCCACAGGCAATCTTCCAGGCCAGGAAATGTGGGCTGTGGGGTCCCGGAATACGTTTTTTCGAAGAAATTTCGGACTTTTCCATAATCTTCTCCGCGAGGTGTGGGGTCCCGGAAACACACTTCCGCGACAAACATTTTCCTTTCAACATTCCTATGGGGTCTGACCCTTAGGCTCGACGTACAAGCGGGTGGTTTTTAGAAAGCTTAGAGAGAACAAATGCAGCTCCTTGCTTTTGGAAGCCCAAGACTTGTCGATCGCAGCTGGAGAATGGTTCCGCTAAGCATGCACTTTTGTCCTGCTCATCAAATCTGTTCAAGGAAAGCTGGACCCATTTCCCTCCAGGTGCCACTTGTGATCAATTGACTGGAGCTACCCCCAAGGGAAAGCCCACTATGGGGAGTGGTTCGCACCAGCTCCGGTATCGGGTTTCGCCCTGACTGATGCTACAAAAAAAGAATCAAAGAAAAGATTCAAAAGAGCAAACGAAAAAACAGCTACAAC